CACAAGCACTGACTCCTGGTCCTCACATGAACCCCCTGCGAACTGTGCTAACACCAGAGAGGCATCGCGGTGGACCGTGGAGCACCCGGACTCTGACCCCCGGGGGCCTGGGTCTGTATTGGTCTCTGTGGAAAATTAATAAGAAATGTTGTTGGAAAGTTAATCTGCATAGCAGAACTCCCAAAATTGATAGATAATTCCTTAACATGGCTTGTCAATCAAAACATTCTTAAAATTGCATCAAAAATCTCGTTTCAGCCATCTATCTCCTCATCTCTTACAGGTCACACTGTTGTTTCTTCTGCCCCCTTCTAGTTTTTCTTTATGCAAACACTAATGTACTTACAGATACACATATGTGCAGGTACATATATTCTAATCTCCTCCCTTCGTACACAAAGGTAGCAAACAATATATATTGTACATCCTAGAGCCGTTTCCATGCCATTGTATAGAGACACTTAGTTGCATGATATTTCACTGCAGAATGTACAATACTTTATAAAATCAATTGTCCTGTGTTATATGGTTGGGTTATTTCTTTTTTGCTGTTATAAAAAAATGCAGAACTAGAATAGTGCTTTATGTCATTTTGTATATTGGTCATTTTCACAGATATGGCCAACTTGCCCACGATGGCCATAGCACCAGCCTGCATTTGTACCACAATGTAGGTGAGTGCCAGGAGCCTGCTGTCCATCTATAGGATATTGCTAATCTGACAGGTGAAAACTAGTGTCTCATCCTGCTTTTAATTTGCCTTCCTCTTACTATGAGTGAAGATAAGCATCTCTTCCTATATTTAAAGTCTTATTTGTATTTCTTTTTCTGTGAAATATTTGTTCATGTCCTTTGGTCATTTTTTCCTGTGTGGTGATAATACTAACAAGAAAAACGTTCATTTGTATGTGTGTCTCTGTTTCCAGAGAAACAAGACAGGAGACAAAATGTGTGATGCATGACAGGTGGGGGAAAAAGTCACTGTGTATTCTTCCTCTAGTGACTTACTTTAGCGTAAAAACTTTTTTATACTAGAACTAAAACAATGTATCATTTAAAATTGGGAAGCTCTGTTTTCAGCTTTAGTTTCTGCAAGAAAGATTCTTTGGGAAAACAAGGAGAGGTTCCCTGCAAGAAAGATTCTTTGGGAAAACAAGGAGAGATTCCCTTTTTGGAAACAACGTAAGCCAACCACGTACAAGAAAGATGAACAGGAATTTAGATTGATTTCTTGATTCTCATGAATTTGATCAGACCTCTTTAGCCCAAATATCTGGACCTTCTCTTAGAGATTTGGAATTATTTCTGCACTGGGGCGGCACAGAAGGCAAGAGGGGAAACTTGCAAATCACAGGGGGTTTTGTGCAGCTGGTTTCCCCTCCAGGGCACTGCTAGGCAGCGTCTCCCGTGGTTTCCACCTTCTTAGCAACTCCGTCCCCTACTCGCCCTGGCTGCCTTGACCTGGGAGGTGCGGGGTGGGGGGCGGGTGGAAAGAGGCAGTGGTGGTGGAGGTGACAGCACGAGTGGCAGGAGGCGCTGCTGTGGCTCATGTTGCTTCATTTCCTCAGGCTTCTTTTGTTCATGTGCTCTGTTAAATGCGGTTGATTTGTGGAAAATGATCGAAGTCAAACTGGCCCCCACTATTTAGGGCTGTGCACGGGGTGGCTGGGGTGTCTTAAGAAAATAACAACAGTTAAACCACAACCAACTCGGCTCACTTTCAAAGGGCCACAGCTAATGGGAAGGAAATTTCCCTGCACACACACGGAATTGCTATGAAACACACTCTCAGGCCGCGGGGCGGGGTTCCCACTATCTGTCCCTCCAGTTGGCTCCTATGTGAGGTGGGAGCCTCGTGCCCGGGACGTTTGGATGCAGCACCTTCCGTCCACGCTCAGGACCTGTTCTGAAGCAAAGAGCAGACAGGGCTTCCTGCAGCACCAGGACGGCCCCTGACGTTCCACCAGCGACCTGAGCTCTCCTGGGAGACGCGGTCCCTGGGGTTGCTACTTCTTGGTTTCAGCTTCTCAGTGGAGATGGGGTGACACAGGACCCGCTCCCCTGAACCCAGCAGCACAGCCAGACTGCAGGAGTGACAACAGTGCTGTGCTTTGTCCCTCACAAGATCAGAGATACGGAGGCCCTGGGCTCACCTGTGCAACTAAACGTCCTGTACTGAGTCACATGAGTCCCCCTAAAGGGACAAAATGGCCTCAGAGTCAGCCTGAGCAAGGCTTCAGAGAGGACAGTAAGTCGGATCACAGTGTGATGGTGAATCAGCAGAGGGCTGCTCTGCAACGTCACTGTGAAGAACAAATGTCCCTTCACCCCACCCAGCAGGGGACAGAGAGAGATCCAGGCCCACGGGCTCAGTCTGTCCTGTCCCAGAGGAACAAAGCTCTCTTGCTGAGACCAACAATTCAGGTTCTCACTGTCTGACTTGAGGGCACATTCAATCATACACTTCATTCCTCTGCTCTGAGAGTCAACATCTGGGGGGGCCTGGGCTTCCTATGAGGACTGGCCGGTCCCACGGGTTCAGCCCAGCATGGTGGCTGGGAGCTCGTCCTCAGGTTAAAGTCACACACTGACGTCGGGCTGAGGCGCCATCTCCGGGCTTGGTGCAGATGCGAGCCCGCTCCTGAGACAGGACGGTCCCACTGCCATGACACTGCTGCATTCTTGGGCTTTTAGTCCCAAGGTCAGACCCTGGGGCTTTTCCTCCCCCCTTCCTCCCTGTCAGAAGCTCTTCCTGGTTAGAGCCCAGCCTCCAGGGAGCCTCCCAGCTGCACTTCTGTCATCTGGGCCAGTCTCAGAACAAGTGCGGCTGGAGGTGGTTTGATCGGCACAAATGGCCAGTTTCCACCCAGACCAGCACCAGTACCAATACACACAGTTGAATTTTTTTGGAATGACACATGGAAAGTGAAAGAAAATTAATAGGCACGCTGCCTTCCTGTGAAGCATTAAGGTGACTATTCATGCCTGAAAATAATAGGTCACAGTATAATTCAGTTCATTTTTATTCAAAGTAATGCAACACAAAGGGAAATGATGACAAACATTTCATAGGGTGATTTTAAAGAAGAGTATTCAGGCTTTTTTAGACCATATTTCTAAGAGAAGGATACTATTTCATGATAAGTAATACAAAATGTCCGGTGAATTTTATAGGTATTCACAATCTCTCTTGCATCCCCTTTTCAAATTCTAATACCTTAGACCTAATACATAAGGAAAGAAGAAAAATAAAATGAAGCATTCTAACCCTTTTGATTTTTTTTTACTTTTTTTATTTATTTATAATCATTTTACAATGTTGTGTCAAATTCCAGTGTAGAGCACAATTGTTCTGTTATACATGAACATATGTATATTCATTGTCACATTTTTCGATTTCGTTCCTTTTAAATGTTGTACCAAGAGCACTTGTGCATGTGTTACAAACACAGGGGAAATGGAGGATGTTAAAAAAGAAATACAAAAGACATGTGAGACATGAAACAAAAATTGCCATAATGCAAATCAAAATAAAAAGATATTTTGCATACTAAAGAAGTGTTATTCCAATATACAAGACGTCTTTGACTGAGACCACAGCACAAGACTTTCTGCAAGTATTCATTAAAGGATCAGACTCGGTCTCACTGAAGGCAGGATGGACCATGACATTACCTCAAGAGCCACAGGCAGATCAGCAAATGTACGTGGATATGGTACAATGTCTGTGAGGTGTTACAATAAGTTCTTTATTAGCTGTCCAATAACGTCAGCTGTGGATGTCACTATTTCAACTTTCAATAGGAAGAATCCATGTCCAGCCCTTTTCTAAAGTAGCATTTTTCCCTTTGTTTTTGTAACAGTCTATGCACTGAACATGGGCCGTGTTTTAGACACTTAAAGGACCATGTGTGAGGCCGCAGAAGAATTTATTTTAAAGTAATTTAGAAAAGGATCTACTGTTCACATGCCCAGATTTTTGTCTTAAGCTGAACACTGCTGTGGGAGGACGGGGCTGACGCGTGCTGGGTGCCATGGATGCAGCACAGGACCTCCAGCCCCCGGACCCTGGCTGCCTCCGCTGGCCAGTCTGCCCCATGCCAGCCGCCTCCCTGCTCTGATTCAGTGCACTGCTTTCCCTATTTTTACATTTTATTTCATTATTATTTTCCATTGAGGTGTAATTGACATGTGGCATTATGTTAATTTCAGTTATACAATATAATGATTTAATATTTGTATATATTATGAAATGGTCACAATAAGTCTAGTTAACATTCATCACTGTACATAGTTACAAATGATTTTTTCTTATAATATGAACTTTTAAAGTCTACTCTCCTTTCCCTTCTGGGGTTAGATACTTGTGCTCTCAAGTAACCCTACTATTACAATTTCCTGTTTATTTGCTTGTGCTTCTGAGGGTGAAATGCTTCCTCTGGAGATTCAAAGGGATTTAACAACGGGTCCCCCTGGAGGCACATCCAGCCGTCCGGCTGCGACTGGACCACGTCCTTCATCTCAGAAGCTCTGAGACACTCCAGAGCCCTCCTGGTACCAGGTGGGGCTGGGCTGCATCCCGGCTCTGCCCCTCGCCAGCCCCGTAGCCTTGGCCCAGCTACTCCCCATCCAGTGTCACAGCCCTCGAGGGCGAGCCAGACAATAACAGTGGCAGCCTCCCAGGACTGCCGCCCCCCAGCACTCACGAGTCAGGGTCGTCACTACACAGAGTCTGACCCCGAGACAGTCTGGCTCAGGCAACAGAAATGAACTGGGTCATCCTTATTTCAAAATTTGAGACTCTGAGTTATTTTCATCCTTCACAAATTGGACCTTTACAGAAAATGCTATGAAATTTTATACTGTAAAATGTGTGATAAATTCATGTAAACAGGACAAATCTGGCTATATACTCATTCATTTTTTTCAAATTTTACTTTGAATCTACTCAAATAAATGCTCCATATTTACCTATTTTGTTATTACAGTTTCATTTTCAAAGACTTACTTAAACAAAAGTAGTTCTCGTTGTCCTAAAAGTGGTTTTTCTCTGTCCTGCTTTTCTTCAACTTCCTCTTCAGGTCCTAGATGGTGGGGAAGGGGAAGGAGGAAAAATACAGTATTTTGTTAAAGCAACAAAGATTTTTTTTAATGACATTGTATATGCATAAAATGTTACATAAGAAATAAATGTTTAATCTTCAAAATTGTAACTGTAAAATAAAGTTTTACTTTATTTCTTGTAGGAGGGAAACCTTTAAAATAGGTCCTGTCATTTGCACGCATCTGTCAGAGTGCATTTCATTGCCGTCCTTCAAGATGCTGGTGTAGACCAGGCACTGCTACCCATAGCTACTCCTCCCCTGCCTCTTTGAAGACAAACTGTATATATTTTGGATTGTAAATATCTTTGAGATTTGGTACAAA